AGTTTTAGGTAGTCCTGCGAGGAGCAGGGAGTTGGACTCGATGGTCCTTATGGGTCCCTTCCAACTTGAGATACTCCACGATTCTCACGGGCTTTGGGGTTTGTCAGGTGGATGATGTGTCTTGAATCCACCTTTCACAGGTAGATCCAGGAAACTCTGCTCTTCTTTTCAGTGGGAGCAAAGCCCGTGGAGCCCTGTTCGTTGCCCCCTTCCCGGGTGGGAAGTGCCCGAGGAGGTTGGGAAGAGTGAGTCTGAGTAACAGCCCTCCTGGAAAGCTCTGGGTTAGCACTCGCCACGCTCCTCGGTGGGGACGGAGCTAGCGTGATGCTACGAGACACGTGGTGGGCCAGGCTCTGCTGCTCCACTTCCCTGCCCTGCCCACATGCCCAGGGCTCGCGCAGGATCACCTCCACCTCCTTCACATTGCTGGTGGGTCCTGGGGACTCTTCTGTCCCCATTTTATGACTGCGGAGGCACCGAGAGGCTGGATCTGGGGGGCCAGTGTGGACCCGCTCACCTGCAAGGGTCATCAGCCAGCGAGATCCTCATCTCTCCATGAGGAAAGCCCCCCCTTTCCCCATGGCATTATTGTTGATTGGCTCCGTTGGCCAAAATCTAAAGGATAATTATATTCTGCATCATAAAATCTGTCCCTGCAGCGTGTCCGTGCCGCTGTTTCTGGCTGTTGCGTAGCATCGCTGGGTGCTGTTGAAGAGCTGCTGTTTCGCGCCCTGGAGGTGCCTACCTTTTATTACTGGATCAAGCCAATCCTGTTTCTATAAGGAGCTCCAGCACTATCAACCCTGCGGCCTCTTAAGGGCTCCTGAGGATTTTATCCCTGCGGGGAACGTTGCTCCCACGGGGACCTGCAGGCTCCTGCAAAGTGGTGGAGCGTAGCAGCGAGGCAGGCTGGCTTCCTTTCCTCATTCAGCGCGTGTATATATAGACCACAAAATGCTCCAGAGTAAAAGGAGCAGTGGGTGGAAGGCGAGATATTATTATCTTCACCTGCTGCTGCCGACCAACAAAATAAAGAGACAGATGACAGGAAGTGAGGACTTCAAAAATAGACACCTTTAATGTCAAAACCTTCTGGGATTAGCGAGAGCACCATGCAAGAAACAGAGAAACTCTCACGCTAGTCACCGTGTGCTTTGAGTGTGTGTCGGAGGAGGAAATATGCTGAGATATTGAAGAAACATTTCTGTGTTTACTCTTTGTGCCCTCGGCAGAAGAACCAGAGGAAAAAAAAAAAACCAAACCTGACCAAAGAGACTGCAGATATACTGAAACATGAATTGTAAAACCTCCCTTTACAGCTCGACAGATCCTCCGTACCTGGACGGTCTGCAGTTCTCCTTCCCCGAGCTGCATGCCCAAATCCTGCCCGCGTCTGCCAGCTTAATTCTTTGCCTCCACAAGGCTAGGGCTTTGCAAGGCTCTTCTTACAGCTCCACGGGACAGGAACGGCAAAGTTTTTAATGTGAGCCCTCTTAATTAAAAAAAAAGTCTTTGCATATGGAAAATATTTCTTATCATATACTCTATCTGCTTTACTTAAAACCTCTTAAATATATTAAACATCTAATTTGGCCTCACCTCTCGATGTATGTACATCTGCTAGTCGTTCCCCTGCCCATCGATACAGCCACATGGCTTTTTGCCAGCTCCGCGTCTCCATTACTAACTCTCTTTTGCACGTCAAACCCACAGTCTGGGTTGGATTTGAATGGGGTTGTGACAGCGACGGAGAAAGTTGGGCCCGAGGGAGGGGAATACCAAAGGGTGTTTTTCCTCACTGAAACTCAACGCTGGTCCAAAGTCCAGAACTGGCTATATTGAGTCCTAGACAGGTGCCAAGACAACAAGGAAAAATAGCAACGGTAGCCTGAAATGCCAGAGACCTGACGCTCTGCAGCTCCCGACGCTGGAAATTAGCACGTTACTAATCCAGAGCGAGGAGAATACAGTACCAAACGGGTGATTTCTAGCTCAAAAATCTCAAACCTTCGTCACGGCACTCCGATAACCAACTTATTGTCTTGCTTCACTCTCGCATTGCTTTGGTAGCAGCTGGGTGAAGGGGCCCCAAATCCACCAGACAACATTTTTTGATTTCTAAAAATTGGGGTCTGGGCTTTGAGCCCATTATTTCTGAATCTGTAGGGTTCCTGAGTAAAACTCTGCTGTAGTGACACTAGAAGAAAGGTGTGAAGCAAGTTTATGGAAAGGCTTTGAGGGGCAGAGAGGTTTTCTAAACGTGTCTTCACCCCGTGTGTTTCTTTTTCTTTGATAGGGCTGCAACGTCCTCATCTTCAGAAAAAAAATGCATCACAATCCAACAGAAAAAACCGTGATCTGCCTTCGGGAGAGGAACCAGGTTCAACCGGTGCCGTACGTGCAAGAACAGTGGATGCAAACCAGCGTCTCACCGCCTTTCATCTCCAGTGCTCCCCTCTCCAGAGGTCTGGGTCTCCGATTCTTTATTGCCGCAGAGAGACGTGATCCGAGGTAAGGCATCCCTCTTGATCCGCACGGCATGGGTCTTGAGTCAGCGGTTCTCTTGGACTGGCTGGATGTGTCCCCTCTGCTGTATGCAATGCCAGCGAGAGTTAAAAGTGCAACAAAACAGCCCGAAGACCAGAGGTGAGGAGGAGGAGGAAGGAAGAAGAGATGCGCGGGCAGCCTGCCCCAGCCTGGAAGATGTGCAGTTTCTCAGCGTTGGGAAGGAAGACCCTGGCGTCCTCCAGGGCTCCATGAGCCGCCATGGTGAAGTTGGCATCCCCCGAGGTCACCACATCGAAGACGCACGACTGGAAGTAGACGTCCTCCACGGGCAGCATCTCCTTGCAGAGCGCCCGAGCCGTCTCC